AAGGAGATCCCATTATTGAATGAGGATATCAAATTTCCAGTCAAGAAAGAGAGTAAAAGGAGAGTCCGGTGATCTCTTGGACAAATCACCCTCTAGGACGCCAAGATAGGTTCAGCTAGGAAGGGGAGGAACAAAGGAAAACAGGAGCTTTTCCCCGTGGACCAACCCGTGACGAGATCCTATGCCCGGGCCCATAACAGGTTGTGGGGTTGATTAACTTCCGATTATCAGTGCATAAGAGGCTTAGGGATATTCCACACCATGAATATTTCCTTTGTGTAAAAATGTTCTATTAAAAGGGTTGGTGTAGGATCACCTTGTTGTTTTTTTGCTGCTCACACCTTGTCACTATACATTGTCATATCCTGTACATTTTTTATTTAGAGTTTCAATGAAATACTTTTCCATTTTGCTCTCAAAAATTATATCTAATTAAAAGTGTAGATTAGGAATTCCTCATCCCTTGTTCATTTTCTTCATTCTCCTACTTCATCTGCAACAAGATGTACAAGAGCATACAGATTATGAGGATAATGATGATGGCCTTTAGAACTGTTGGTTAAATTCCCATTTTATTGTGTTTGATCATCAATTCTTCTTCCGTTCCAGTTCTTCTTCATTATCTATGTTGTCTCTTTTGTTTCCTCAATTTTGTTTTCTTATTTGTTCTGGTTTCCATTCATGGTTTACTTGCTGTATCCCCCCCCCAAAAAAAAAAAAAAAGAAAAGAAAAAATTGCTACTGATTTGTTTTAGAAGTTATCATGTCTGTTAGCTTGCTGCTAAAAAACCTTGGTTGTCCCCTTATTTCTTCCTTTTCTTGAGAAATCCAATGCTAACTTTTCTAGCTGGATGCTTCCTCCTGCCTTAAGCATCAATTGATTTTGCCTATGGAACTCCAGCTAGTGTTTGTATATTCTCTTTAAGAATGTTCAATGTTCTTGCAGGGTATACCCATATATATGCTTGCAAGTGTACTCATGTTCTTAAGAATCCATCAACCATGGAAGATTGGACCCAAAGGGATTTTATTTGGGAAAGTGGAAAGGGGGGTGAAGTTGGAGTTAGTGAACTCAGGGAAGGGGAGTTGGGTTTTGGCAGAACAGGGGCTATGAATGAGGCTCTTTTCAGGAAATGGTGGTTTCAGGTGAAAAGGATGGTGCTATTGGATTCCAGGGGTAGTATGAAGTTTTTCTATTTGGTCTAGGTTCTAGGGTGGTATCCTAAACATATGAAATTTGTGTTCGGAAAGGTATCATGAGAGTCTATCAATTATTTTCTGATTTAACTACATATGTGGTTGGAGATGGTTGGCAGGTGAGGTTTTTCAAGGCAGATGGGATGGGAAAGGAGATTATATAATTGTTTTGCTAAGACTATATCCTCTTGGCTGAAGAGTCATGATCATTGTTTTGAAGAGGTCCATTGTTCGGAAAGGCAATTGTTGGAATTAGAGATACAACAGTGGACCAACCTTTTTAACAGGTTGGAATCATCTCACTCATCTGCTTCAGTACCGGATGCAAGGTAGTGGAAGGAATGTGCATCTCAGCTGCAGAGAAATAGCTATTGTTTTGAAGTAAGAGGTCAGGTTGTTTAGATTTCAGAAAGACCATTGTTGGAATTAGAGATACAGAAGTGAACCAGAGGGTGCGCCTTGGCACAAAGGTTGGGTTTCTCCATTGTGACCTGGGTGACCAGGGTCCAAATCATGGAAACAGCCTCTCTATATGTGCAGGGGTAAGACTGTGTCTGTTCCGCCCCAGACCCTGCATTGGCAGGAGCGTCGTGCACTGGGCTGCCAAGTGAACCAACATTTTTTACAGGTAGGAATCATCTTGCTCATCTGCTTTAATTCCAGGTGAAAGGTAGTGGAATGAATGTGAAAAAGGCTGTTTTCAGGAAATCTTATTATGAGGCAATAATTAAAAAAAAAATCAGGTGGAGAACTCTCAATCTGGAGGTATTTGGGGCATTCCTATCCTCCTGTTTAGAGTGGAGGCATTTGATTGGCTCCTCACATTGGAGTGCATTATGACTATCAACCACTTGAAAAATAGAGGTTCTGTATGGCTATTATTTGCCTAATATGCAGAAGGCAACAGGAAGATAGTGGCATTTATTCATTTTTTGTGGTTTACCTGTCTTCATTTGGTCATTTTCTAGAGATCCATCCCTTTTGCAGTATGTTGAAGTATATGGAAAGAGGGATTGAAGAACTTTTGAAGGAAAGAAGTGAGACACTAGAAAACTATGCGTGACATCATATCTATCCCTTTTGGTCGTTACTTAGTTACCTAACCATTGATAGCAAGATCTTGTGAATCCAGTATGAATCAGAAAATCATGGTTATCTTATCAGCAAGGTAGAAATCCATGACAGGATTGAGATTTCTATTTATGTAGTCTATGTAGATGTTGCATTTGGTTTGTTTAGGTTTAGTAGGAATGTAGGATAATTGGAGGGTATTTATAGTTTTAGAATTACATATTTTAGTGTTCCCATGAGTTATGGGTTTTCATAGTTTTCAAGTCATTAGAATTTTTTTGTCAAGTTCCTCCTATAGTGAAACCATAAATAGAGTCATTGTGATTAAATTTTTTGAAGAGAAATAATGGAACAAAAGTTTGTTTTTACTGATATGAAAAGGTTTGTTTGAAGTTACCTGTGGGTATAATCATATCCTTCTTTCTCTCTCTTCTCTCTATTTCTCTCTAAGGTGTGAATTTTCTCCTCTCTTCTTTATTACAGATTTTAATATTTTTCTCTTATAATTCATCTTTACTACCCTTGTTTACCTACCACATTCACCCCAATAGGGTTTTTCCTTCCCATCCTACATCAAATCAACAAACTCTACAAAGCCTTATCCAAGGCCACTGATCAATTACATGAATCCTTTCTTGCCATTCCACTCTGTTCAGTGCCATGTTCATTGTCAAATTATGAGCAAGGTGTACCATGTTGCTTCAAGGGAATGCTCTAGCATGAGTACAAAATGACAATTCAGGATCTATGTTCATTAAGAGTTTGGCAAAAGCTTTAGTGCTAGCTGCCAACCTGATGCAACTCATCTTTATCCAGGCTTGGGACTAGCAATTTAGGACAAGCTCAAACTGGTGGAATTCCGTCCTACATCATACGTATTTGGTAAAATCCCTTGTACTTCCTTTAATTGGAGATGGAATTGCCTTGTTTCCATCTAAGTAGGCAGCCTTGTTGAACAGGATACTTACCATAGATTGCCTTTCTTACAGTGTAGAAATACAAACAAATGTCCTGCATGGGGTCAATGAAGGATCAGTGCCTTGTCTCTTATATTTCCCTTTTCCAACACGATGTGGTGCCAGTTTTTTCAGAACGTTAGCATGGGGTATGCCAAGAAAATTTAGTAGATCTTTTTCTTGTAAGTAAATTTAGGTTATGCTTGGTACCATCACTGTTTCTATCTGAAACATTTTGGATTGATCAATACAAATTGGTGAGAGATATGTGTTGTCACATCAAATGAGTCACTTCAGCTAGAATGATTAGATTTCATTCCCCTGGAGCAAGAAACATCAATTTGATGTTCCTATGAACAGCCTCCCACATATACATTTTTAAGGTATGCCTGTTTCAACTATAAACATCCTGAAATAACAGTTGTATGCCAATTTGTATTGATCAACTCAAAACATTTCAGGTAGAAACTGCAATGGTACTAAACACAATCTTTGTAGATCTGTTTTATGCCAGCACAAGGCTTAAGCAGTAGGGGAAGATTCTATGGAGCTAACCTTTGAAGTATGTTGGACATTACAGGGAGCAAAATTGGCATATCTGAGAACAAGTGTCTAAAGGAAGATCTCTCAAGCAATTATAACAGTCTGTGGTTGGTATGATAAGCTAAGAACTGACTATGTCTTTGAAGCTGTTGTACTTTGCATGCTTATCATGCCAACAACAGACTTTTATACTTCCCTCATAGAATACTACATGTTCTGATTTCCCATATTAATGCTAAAAAAATGAATATGCAAGTGTAAACATATCATGAGATAAGCAAGAATTTTTTATTGGTAATTTATATAAGCAAGTACTTGAGTATTTCTATATTCCATTTCCAATACACAGGCAGCAGAACGGGTTTTATGCCGTCATCCTTTCAATGAATCCAAGAGAGCATATGTGGTTCCACAGCGTGTTGAGGAGCTGTTGAAGTGTTATTGGCCTGGAGATTCAGGTAGGGTCCTTTTTATATAACTCATTAATGATAGCCAGCATGTTGAAAGAAATTCATTATCAAAGCTAGTTTGTTTACTATATAAAAAAGAAAGGCCCATAGCCCAAATATATCCGCACTGTACTATCCTCTACCCAATTATAAACAGTAACTCTACAATAGAAAGTACTGAACTCTATGAAGAACAAGAGCTCAAACCATAAGGAAATTACTGATTTTCCACACACCAATGAATCACCAGCTTTTCCAATCTGTCAAAATTCTTCAGTTGCACTCTTTCCATATAGCCCAACTGATTGCACATGCAACCAAGGACCAACGCATGGTCCCCCTTCTACTTAATGATGCATGAGGCTAGGATTGAATCATTTCTGTCATGAAGGGCATGGCAAGGAAATTTGAAACAAGGAGCTGAAGACTTAGCATAGAAATGAAGTGGCTAGGGAGAACAAAGAAGAGGTAGTTCAGTGTTTCTTTGGCTGCTTTGTGCATGGTACAAATCTTGTGAATCTGCATCTCCTGATTGTTGAGGTGATCAATCCTAAGAACCTCATCAAGATGCAGACAGCCACATAAAGGCCTCTATCCTGGAAAGAACCCACTTTCCACAAATGCATCCTACATCCAAAATCTGTCAGACCTCTAGCCAAAGCAACATGGAAGGACTTATTAAAGCTTTTCCTTTTGGCCCCTCCTTCCAAGCAAATTCATCCTTTTGGCCTAGGAAAATGAGAGTATTATCAAGCTTCTACAAGAGAATAAGCATTCCACGAACTCTCTATTTACAAGGGACCCACAAAGCAATCGAGCAGTTTAACAGTAAATAGCATGGATTCCATTCCACCTGTGGAGGAATAATACTTGAGTAAGTAATCCAAGATACATAGCAAAGATACATTTTGCAGATTCATCAAAACTTGTCTATATGCAATTCAACCTTATGACCATCTGGTCGTTGCTATCAAGCTGAATTTCGAACTCCCTTCTTTTTGGGTACCAAGTTCAAACTCCCTATGGTGTTTTGAAATCTCGTTATCCTGGGAAGTGAAATTGACTTCAGGTATTTCAAATCATCATTCTTTTCTTTGCAAAAAATCGATAAACATTTTTATGGTGAACCAATGGGTATAATGCTCTCCATTTTGCTTACATAGCAAGATTTGATTTTCTGCTTAAAGGTAAAGCAAGAGAAGAATTATCACCCCTTAAGGAGATAAGGAACCATTGCATGAGACAGTTGGATCAAATGCAGCCTGATCATATGAGGAGGCTGAACCCAACACCTTACAAGGTTCTGTATATATAACCTTTGCTTCCATGTATTGTCTCTTGAACTATTTTTGTGCTTGCAATAATGTTTTACTTGATTTTAAACAGGTGAGTGTAAGTGCAAAGTTGTACGACTTCATTCACCTCCTATGGCTCAATGAGGCTCCTGTTGGGGAGTTGCAGTAATGATATGGATAAAAAGTACTTCAAGGTAGTCATCATAGGTTGCTGATCAAAAGGAAATTGGTCATCATCAGTTGCAAGGGAAGCAATGATTTCAGTTGCGTGAAGGAGCTTCCTGAAAGAATTGGGTCCTCATGTTAATATATTTTGCATATAAACATACAGATTTCAATGCGGTATGGATCAAAAATTGTTTTTATTTAATAAAGGTGCTAGATAAAGCACCCTCTTAACTTTCTCCATCTACTATGATCACTTTTTGTGTTTTTGAGCCTCAAAATTTACTTCCGGTGGAGGGCTGGAATTGTTATATTTTGAACCTTGGTTGGAAAAGGCTTGGTGAAAGGTTGAGTTGCCATATATATATATATATATTGATGTAGGGTAACCTGGCCCAGCCCACGGACGCCAGCCAGGGTCCCGGTCCAGCACGGCGAGGGATACCCTGCTTTCCTCGTACGGAGCCAATAGCAGAGCGCCCCAGCATCCTCCCGCTGACCGCTTTCGTACGGAGCTCATCGGAGGCGTCTATCTCCACCTACCTCCAGGCAGTTCAAGTATAAATACGGGGGTACCCCCCTCCAGGTAAAGGATCCCAAAATTCCAGCTCTAACTCTAAACTTAAGAGAAGGACCTTGCCCCCTTTGAGCCTAGTGCATATGAGCACCCTCCTTAGAGCCCTCATCTGCACCAGATCCCTCTCTTCAGCCCTCGTACTAACTTAACCGTCGGAGTCTCTGCCTCAGGTTCTCACCCGAGGCCTCTGAGTCTCTAACATCTATTGTCTTGCAGAACCTCAAACTTCAAGGGACTTCACCACTCAATCAACAGCCCTCGACTTCTACGGTACTCGGAGACAACCGCCTTGGCCTACAATCCTTGGCCTCGGCATACCTCCTCTGAACCATCAAAGCCTTCGACTAGCCTTCAGAGCTCGGGAGCGAATTTACCCTGTTGCCCTCGGCTTCTATGTATGTGTGTATGTATGTATGTATATGCAAGGTTGTTATTCCTTTCCCCTTCCCCCTTTCTTACTTCCTCCATTCTCTTTTCCCAACCTCCCATTAAGCCAAGTCACCAGGGGTTTAGCCTATCTCATTAGGCTATGTCATCCTTCCTCTCAATAATTCAAATATTAAAAATCTTCCTAAAATCTCTCTCATGCATAAAACTTCCTCCATCTATCTCACATGCCCAATAAACCATATGATTCGAACGTCTCTTTCCCTATACCTATCTATCTCTACCTCTCTCCACCTTCTAAATACATGCATTTAATTTTTCAGCAATATTAAAATATTAATATTTAAGTTAAAACATTTTTTTGGAAAATAGTCTAACTTAAAACTTAAATATTAAAATGAGTAAAAATATCTAAAATACTAGTAAGAGGAAAAATAGATAACACAATAAGACAAATAATTAATAAAAAATATTTTAATATTAGTATTATTACAGATGATAGTAAAAAATCTTATTCTAATTATAAATGATATTTTAATAGTCATTATAAAATCTCTCCCTCCCCATGTTATGTTGTCCACCTCACGCTACTAGACTTGTTCATGGGTTGGGCTCGAGCTTAGCTTTTGGCAAAATTTGAATGGGGCCTGGCCTAAAGCCCGAGCCCAATATACTGTAAGTCAGGCCCGAAGCCCGGCTCGTGAACAGGTATACACACCGCTATTTGTATTGATGCTGATACCATCAGTTAACCAATTGATTGGTTTCAGTTTTTTATATATTATATATTATAAATATATACTATACATAAATATATATATATATATATATATACCTATCAATTTGGCTAATTGTCAACTTTTTCTAGGTTAACTAAAAATTGAACTGGTCCTTTGATTTTTCAAAAATACTAAACCAAATGATCGGTTAATTGCATTTTTTTGTTTGATTTTTCTCAATTAAATTCGTCTTTTTATGAGCAACCTTACAAGAAAATATAAATTTTTTGTTACCAATTTGAATAGATCTTGATTAACTGATTTGATCTACCAAATTTTGGCTTTTAATGGGCTCGGCCAAAGCCCAAACCCGAAACAGTATAAAAAATGAACATGAAACCCAGCTCATGATGAATAGGTCTAAGGGGATGTTCTTTTTTTGGATTTTGAGAGGGGGAAAAGTTGGTCAATGGGATTTTGGTTCCCATTGACCAAGAATTCAATGTTCTTTTTTCAGATTTATGTGGGGACCAGGGAAAGTTTATTTTCCTAGGTATCACTTATCAGGTAAGTGATACACATCTCCTAAGTAGGTAAATAACTCTCACCTAGGGGGAAGTTGCCAAAACTTAAATGGAACAAAAATGCCCCTTTTAATAATAGATTTTTATGGCTAAAATGGTCATTACTTTATTTACATGAGAAATTAAAGAACATGGGTAAATGCACTTACCCGGGTAAGTGTTTCCTAGGAAAAACATACCCAGATAACTGCATTTACCCGGATAAGTAACTTACTGAAAAGCGAACAGGGCCTAATTGTTAAAGCTCCTGTCACAAACTCAATTTCTTTTAACACTTGTGCATCACACAAGCCTGACTAGTTACAACATCCAATGAACTTGCATCACTCTAAAAGACTTTAGCGGTGTTTGGCATCAATGTCATTTTCTAAGAAAACGGTGTCATATAGGTGCCACATCAGAAAAAGCGATGCTTCAGAAAATGGCTTCTTATTTGGTACCGCTTTTTCAGAAAAAACATTGCTTCAGACCATGCCTTGGAAATCGGGAAATATGGTCTAAAGAAACGCCAAATTCAATGTTTTCTCAGAAAACAGCCCGTTGCTACCAGCGGTGTAATGATGTGGCATCATCTTGAATGTTGAATAATATGACCAATGCCGAAAACGATTCTACAGCACTATTACCAAACAAAACCAATGTTGCTTTCCCAAAAAACAACATATGTAGCAAGGCACCGCTTCCAAACAAAAAATAAGAACCGTTTTTATGAGAAAATGGTGGTTTGTAATTGTAAGGAATTCCTCACAATAGTAGAGATTCAACACGTGCATTATCATGGCCAATAGACGCAATGCAGTATTGTGCAACTATTAAAAGATAAAACCTCGGGGTTGCATCCACACTACTAGATCATTTCAGCATTCAAGAAATGTAACGTTCGGCTGGGACATCCATATTGCTTGTACATCTTTAAACTTAAAAGCAAGCCCTATATTATAAACTAAGTCACTGACGGGGTTTCGGAAAAGAAAAACATGGATCGGCAAGTCTGTAAATTAAAAGGAAAAAGATAAGTAGCAAAAGTTCATTCAACGTTATGGAAAAATTTTATTGAAATTGATATGGCCAGGATGATTAAGAAAAAAAACAGTATCCCCATTTTCTTTATACTTATAATTCCATAATACATATATACACAACTCTAACAAACCGACCAGACAGATGTTTGAACATCTTAGTTTCCTTTCGTGCGTCAGACAGTGACAGAAATGTCCTTAAGCTGGATCCACCCATAAGCACATCGGTCCCTTATCTTCTGTACGATTGATGCTGCCAAATCAACTGCAGGGCGGATTTTGGCCAAGTCTTTCTCAAATGACATTCTCACGGTTAGTTCCAACTGCAAAACGTTGATGGCAGAATGAGATGGTGCAAAACTATTTGCTGATTGAAAAAAAAGATGGTGCAAAACCGTTCTTTTCAAATAAGTTTTCAGACAAAATATTCGTTAACCAAAAAAAGGACAAAGAGATCTAGCACAGAATAACCTTGTCAATGCACCGCGTAGTATCCAACACATGACAAAAATAGCTAAGCTGCTTGTATAGATCCACTTCTGTATACTGTTTTAGAAGGTGCATTTTACATCCATGTCAGTAAAAAATGAAATTTGATAACAAGGCATGGGAAAGTAAGCAAGACATCCTTTAGAAACTTGGATATGTGTATGTGGACCTTTCTTAGAAGACGCCCATTGCAACGGGGGTAGTTTGGACAAATAGTTCCTCTCTCAGAATCACCAACCACCCGCAAGTTTAGACTGCGAGTGAAATACTTGCAAGTGTCATCATCACACTGAAAGCAAAATTACCATATCAGAGTCAGTTTTGGAATGCTTAAAACATCATAATTTACATTTTTTTCATTCCCATTTACAATTGAATGTACCACATAATAATCAACTACGTACCATCATTAATCCCTTGTAGTACATTGAGATAAATCCTTCTGCCTGCCTCTTTACCTGTTAGGGAAATGTAGGTCAAATTAACATCCTGGTTGAATAAATGTGTAGTCATTAATATGATCCAGTAGCTACCTGGTTAGCTATTATGACTGGAGATATTTGGCTTCCATCACCCTCATCTGGGCACTTCGGGCAACTCAGTCTTCTCCAAAAACTACTCTTAGTTTTATTTTCTTCTTGTGAGTCAGTTGGCTTTTCACTGCTTGATGTACATATTAAACTAGACACAGCAGGACACTCGAAAGTATCAGAGCATATGGGACATGTTAACCGCAAAGGCTCACATTCATGATATCTGCAGCAATTTCAGTTCATCGGACCCATTAGATTATCTCATATTTGCAATATGGAGAAGTTGGGGCACTTATCCTAATTTGGAAAGCTAGAAAATCTTACCTTTCTTCATCATCCATGACGCATACAAGTGATGATGAAGGGTCCTTTCCAGTAACTTCACTTATTCTACTTTGGAACTATGCGGGAAAGAAAAAACTTAAATGTCAAGAATATATATACATAATAATGCATTCCTAACACTAAGGGTGGGCTGAGTAGGTCCTGCTAACCTTGGATGAGTCAAGACCCAGACAATCAGCTAAACGTGCTGGGCTTGTCCCCTGAATTGAAGCACATAGACGTGATACTACAGGAAGGATCTGCATACAGAAATTGGACCAGCTCATTAAGAAAATAAATAGCCAATATGATATGTTAAATCAGGCAAAGAGCCAATATGGTATAAAGCAAACCTGCTGTGACAAGTAATAGTCAATGTCAATCATCCATTTGTCATTTCCACTTTTCAGTTCATCAGGGTGCCTAGCTCTCTGAGCTATACCTGCAGAAGAATTTGAACCAGCTCCCTGCACAGACAATTTTCTGCTAGTTATCCTAATTAGCATTAAGTAGAACATTCTCAAGGATGTAAGTGCTTGACTGCTTTTACTACCGTAGTAGGTTAAATATTATATAGACTGCAATAAAGAGATACTTCAAGACAGATACTACCTGCTCACAGCAAATAATGTAGGGAACAGCATCTCCAGCAGAGCACCCAATGGAGTAACCACTTTGCTTCAATCTAAGTGCAACCTGGGTAGAGGTTCATAACAAGTGAAAAGCACGAGTAACAAGTGGAAAATCAGATGACTGGCACAAATGACATAAATGAGGCCAAAGCATGACCTACTTGCACATGAGGCTGGTTTTTGGCATCTGGATATGCTTCTGGTGGTTTTGTCAATGTTTTTGTGATGACATATTTCTCAAGTGCAACTTCCCCATTCCTCATCTCCTCCTGTACCTGTTTGGCATGTAAAAAAAAGTTCATTTACTTCTGAAGTTCTGTTAAGATTCTGAACAATCACATACATGTTAATAATTTGCAGAAAGATTCAAGCTCTGTTTCACATTGCCACTTGCAAGTCACAAGCCCCAATGAGAAGATGTTACATTAGGTTGGTAGCCTGCATGTCCTTTTCAAGAAAAATAAAATGAAAAACTACCAACTGCACCAGGTGATTTAGCTCAAGTTATAGGCTCTAAAGGTTTTTATTAGTAACTAATCAGAACTTTATTAGAAATGATGAAGGAAGTTGCAAATTCAGAATGGGCATATAATCCTCCTAGTAGAAAGTAGGAAAAGAAAAACGAGAGCTAGCTTTCATACTACTCAGCCTACTCTCCCCCAATCAGTGTGCAAGAACTCAGTTCAAAGAACCCAGATTTGAACCCCAAGAGTTTAGTCTCCAATACAAGTCCCCCCCCTTCCCTGACCACACCTCATATTAGCTCCTAAAGTGACAAATAGGGAAAAAGGTGTTTGCATCTCCTAAAAGAAAATATCCTTTTTCAAGGCCCTTCAAAATCTCAATCTCATAGCACAAATAGTGCATTGTTTGGATACCGGTTACCAATGCTTTATACAAGATCATCGTTTTACCTTCATGAGAGATCCATGAATAGATTCAACAACATCTTCACATGACCTGCACATTAGACTTGAGCAATGTAATAAAATGAAAAATGCAGAAAGAGACATAACAAAATGGTTTTTCCCTGGATGGTAAATTTGCCAAACCAGCAAAAAAAAAATAAAAGATGATTGCATACCCGCCAGATAATATTTGGCTTAGGCAGAAATCCCCTAATTCCTTTGATAATAAACTCCAGTCACGTCGAACCATGTCAAGACCCTTGCGTTCAATCACCTGCTCAACCAAGGTAATCCAACCATGCATTAAGACAGCATGTTAACAAATTCAAAAGCAGTAAAGGATGCAAAAAATTCCAACTGCAACCTCATATGGCATCCCATCCTTAAATTGCACTTTGACAGCTGCATATTTCTTTTTCTTCAGAAGCAACATTCTCTTGTACAGCCCATCAAGATCAATCTCTAAACACCGATACTTCTTGTTGACCTAAATGTAAAGAGAATCAAAACTCATTCCTTACAATACCTTAAAAAAGTATTAAAATGAACATTCAGATGACATATAGTTTGAGTGCATGCAGGGTTTCAGTCTCAGACTTCACAGGTCAAAACTAAGTTCTTTTTTCATTGAAACCCTGGTATCAGAACTTAGAACTAAGCAAAGTCAAAATTAACCTCATTAGATCATGATAACGATGCAAACCAAAGACTTTGTCTTGGTCATTGAATTCAATTCTGAATGTCAAAAGATAAGATATGGATTACTTTGAATTTTCATCATCATCTTGATCAGCTTGAATTCTAACTATGTTGTATGGAGCAGAGTGTTGGGCAGCCAAGAAACAGCATGTTCAGAAAATGAATGTGGCAGAAATGTGAATGCTAAGATGGATGTGGAAAAAACTAGAAAAGATAGGATTAGGAATGAAGTTATTCGTAGGAACCTAGGAGTAGCTCCAATAGGTGTAAATTAAGAGAGAGTAGACTAAGATAGTTTGGGCATGTGCATAGAAGACCACCAACTGCACCAAATAGAAGAAGTGATTTGTTACACATTTAAGGGGCTAGAAGAGCTCGGGGTAGACCAAAAAGGACATGGGTAGTAGTAAGAAATTATTTAGCACTAATAATTTAACAGTGGATATGGCTTCAAATAGAACGGATCGGCGGGGCAAAACAGGATTCATATAGCTGACCCCATATAGTTGGGATAAGGCATGGATGATGATGATGATCCTGATCAGCTTGAATTATACAGCACAGAGATAGGAGGATGAAATTCTTTTTTTTTTTGGGGGGTAGGAAAGCACTATATGCAGGTTAAATAACAATAAGCAACATAGTTGCAAGCACCAAAAAAACTTACTTCTTGTATGGCTTTTCCTGCAATTGTCTTGGCTTTTGCAATATCATCAAGTCCACTGTAAATCATAATTGAATCTGTGTCTCCATAAATAACCTGCCCAATGCCCAAAAAAAAATCTAAAATGAACTAAATTGAAGAGAGCAATGTCACATCATTTCCTTTCAACCATTTAGGTTGTGTTTGGTATCATTGCTGCTTCTAGAAATATTTGGGGTTTATCAATACAATTTTTTGATAAAATAGGTCACTATTTACATATGCCATTTTTTTAGTATTAAATGCAGGTACCATTGCCACTTCTTCATGAAACGCCTAATTTGATGTTCTTTTATTATAAATGCCAACATCAATCCAAACATTTCTAGTAGAAACAGCAATGATACCAAACACAACCTTAGAATCTCAAGATTATGATATTGAAAAAAGAAGGGGGGAAAAAACCTCTAGGTTCAGATTGTTCTGAACAAGATCAACTGTGCTCTGCAGGATCTCCCTTCCCTGAAGGAAAAAATTACACTGTTTAGCTAGTAGAAAATGTAAGCATTCAAATCTGAGTGAAATGTGCATCTAAGCATGAAATTTTTGCAAATTACATTATCAAAACATAATACATCCTTACTTGTAATGTTATAAGCTCTGCAAGTGGCTTTGCATAAAATCTTGAATTGGAAAACCCCAAGCATCCATACATACTGAATTGCAAGGTAAATCAAGCAAAATTTAGTGCTAAAGCAACAAATAAAAGTTGAACTGAGAATTGAATATTTCAGCACCTAAAATTGAGCATATACCTGTTGGCTGTGAGCTTCAATGCTTGCTGCTGAATGTCAAGCTGTTGAACCATGAGACCTGATGCAGACTTGAGTCGGGACTTAACCATTCTCCTCCTCTCAACCAGGTTTCTCAGCAACTACAGAAAGTGCATGAAGTAATCATTTGCCTCCAATTAGTCAACCAAAACATCTAAAAGGGGAAAAGAAACAATAAAAACCTAAACAGCACAAACAAATATGATGAATGTAATTCCCATCTTTTCATCCTCAAGCATGAACTTAATATCTATAAGTATGAACAGATTCTAATAGTATCTGACATAGTTATTATTTAATGGACCAGCTAGAACTCTGTTGACTGACTACTTGAACCTTCTTAAATGGCTACCAATTCACTGAACTCAAGGACACAACTCTTCTTTTTATGAATCTCAAACAAAATTGCTTAAAGCTTAAAAATTGGAAAGCATGCATAAACCTCCTGTGAGCATTTCTAGGATTACAAATTAAGAATAACTACTTGATAAGTCAATATGTTACTGCACTAGGTAACTAGGTAATTTTTCACTCACGACAAGATACACCTAATATCTTCACCAAGGATTTTGACTAAAACGCATGTATATGAGTATCACTCCAACACCAGAATTAAACAACAAACCATTTTCTAAATAGATCATGTAATTTTCATATTAGATGTTCTCAAGGGTTTAAATATCGGCACAATACGCCTGATACGGGGAGTAACATATCGGTATCAAACATGGGGGATACGGGAAACGCTACAATTAAGCCTGTATCCCCTGAATCGTGCGTATCGGAGTGATACGCATCCGTATCGGCCTGTATCATGTTGTATCAGTTGATACACACCAATACGAGTTGATATGGACCAATACACGCATGATTTGTGTACAAACCAATACAAACGTGATTCATGTTTCAACACTTTCACTTGCACGTCTAATTTAGAAAATTTCAAATGGCGTGATTTGAACCCAAATCAGCCAGCCTGCATAAGACTTAAATGCGTCCCTAAGCCACTAAGCCAACTGTTATCTCATGATGATAAGTGAAATAAAATAACCTTTATTAAATTTTAAAGTTCACATGTAGTCTTAACAAAAAAACATATATTGATTAAAAAATATTACTCAAAATTAATATTTTGTAAACAAATGGAATAAATAATTTCTCAAATCCACATTTATATCAAAAAATGGTTTTTAGTCTCAAAAAATCTATACAATAGAAATATTAATAACAGAATAATTATTTTAGTACTTAATATTTATAAATTTGAACGTGATATGTATCTTAAAATTTTTATAAATTATTAATTAATATTTTAATTTGCATTAAATAAAAACATATTTATTGTTTACAAAAATAAAAATATTGTTTACAAAATACTTAGGAATATAATTAAATTGAATTTGTCAAATCCACTAATCTACTTTTATATCAAAAAATGGTTTTTTATTTCATAAGATTTATAGAAATAAAAATATTAATAATGAAATAATTATTTTAGTAATTAAAAAAAATATGAATTTGCATATGATATGTATCTTAGAAATTTTAATACATTTGATATACTTTAAGTTAAGATTATATATTTTTATAAATTATTAATTGATATTTTAATTACATTTTATAACAACATCTTTTATTGTTTACAAAAATAAAAATATTGTTTACCAAACATTTGAGAATTAGCTTTTAGTTGACTGTTTTCTTAATGTTAAAAACTAAAAATAGAAAATAAAAAATAATTGATATAATAATTCACATATAATAGTTGCATGTGTTTTGTGACTTGAACTTCAATAGAAAATAAATAATAGCTTTGTGCATGTATTAATTTGTAAAAATTTATATAATATATGTTCTAGGACTCTTGATTGATACATCATCAATAAAATTGTATGATTTCTATGCATTCCGCTATATTAATTCTAATATATTTATTCACAAATACCATTAGAATATACATTTCCTATGTATTTATATATTAGTTTTGGCTATTTTGACCAGTTGACCTTAAATATAATGTTATCAATATATTTATGGAATTTATATGTATTTCCTAGTGTATCCATATTTTTTCGCCCGTATCCATGTGTTTCCAAAGTGTATTCGTATCCATATCCAAGTGGTCCGATACAATACCCGATATCGACACTTTAATCCTTGGATGTTCTCCTTAGCCAGCATCATAACCCATCAGATGAAATTAGAATTGGAAGCAATTGAAAACAGGATTCTGTAGATTAATTTGTCTCTACAGAAAGACAACCAACCTAACAGACCCTATAGGAAGGAGGTCTCAAACGCCACAGTAAAATACAAGTATACAACAGTTTATACCATGCATCCTATCATTATCTTTTCCTAATGGTGTATATTACTTAACATGGTTCATAGGTAATAGGTTACCTCAGAGCTATTTTACACTCAAATCAATTCATTCATACTTACTTTTTCCAATAGCTCCAATCAGTAACTTTTCCAATTTAGGCCCCAAAAAATTAGTTTTAAATATGCTTCCTCACTGTAAATGTTCTAATCCCTGGACTCAAAGTCAACACGATCAATTAGCATGCAAGTACAAGCAATCAGACAGGTGGGCTGACCCAGTGAAAAAGATTGACCTGAAAATAGCCAACTGTTCTGGGCAAGCGGTCTATCTAACTGTTTAAGTTTTAAAACATCAGAAATCTTCTAAAAACAATTCATTGTACAAAGGAAAGAAAAACAATCACATCTTCCCTTTTGAAAACAAATGAAGCTAATTGGAATTGTAGCCAAACATGTTTCACATCTTAAGAACCATTTCAGTTGTCAAATGTTGAGCCCCCCAGATCAAGGGGTGCAAGCAAATGGAACATCTAAAAGAGACCAACAAGATAATAAGATGACCAATGCACCATCACAACCCAGAACAGTAATACCCAGGAAGGAAGGCCCCCTATGTAAATTACCCTTTTCTTGATTGTATATGCAAAGGAGTTAGCTAATCAAGGAAGTCATTTGAGAGAGATGTTATTCTGCATGCCAAAGATCTAGCTTCTCTCACAAAATGGCAAAGAGACCATGGTCCAAGTGCCTAAAGACACACTCCAATCGCTACATGTTTGGAACCAATGATGAAATCCCAGGTCATATAAAAGACAAAACTTCTTGACAAAGCCAGGTATCAGGTTGGTGTTTTATGGACATTCAGTTGGATTTCAATGCTATAACCACCCCCCCCCCAAACCCACCCAAAGGGAAAAAAATAAGAACAAAAAAGAAAAGAAGGAAAGCAGCACATAAGCAAGGGAGAAAACATATGCAGATAAGCATGCACACATTTAGGCGGATATGGACTTGCACACTTTGGATTACAGCCCAATTCATTTTGGGTAGCAAGGACCTCCTCCTTGAAGGAAAACCTGACTAGACCAATATTGACCTGTTCAATTTAAGTAGTCACTTCAGGAGATAGAATATGCAAGTTATGAGGTTTTCATTGAAATATAAATGCATGCATATAATACATCTATGTGTGCATAAAAGTTGTGAATTTGAAACTCTAAGTGTTGAGAAGATAGTTGAATCATTCTGGCAAACTAAAGGGACAATACCTCAGGTAAAACTCCAGTTGTTTTACAAGAGGGTAAACGTGGAGCTAATCCATCAGAAGATCTTTCAACTGTTGTAAAGCAGATATTGTATTCCTATAAAACAATTAAGGATCAGTACAAAAACAAAATATAAAATTGATACCAGTTCCTAACTAATATCATCTTTGCCAAAATTGAAAGCCAATTATATCACTACCAATTGTAAGGGAAAAAGCCAAATACATTACAACTGATGCACAAAAGAGAGACCAAATGGAAAATGTCAATAACCTGAATGATGGAAGGGTATAGACTATTGAAATCCAGAAGTAATATATACTTGTCATATAAACCTCTTTTTGGTTCCAAAACCAGTCCACCAGAGTAGGCAGGACCCTTTTTTCCTTTTCCTTGTTCATCATGTCGATGCTCATTCTCAAAATGGGCATCATTGACATTCAAATCATCAATGTCTTCACCCTCGGCACAAGTCATTCTCCGTTTTGTTGACTTCACTTCTTGTCTACGTGAAGATATCTTATCAGGGACAATATATTTCTTTGAGTGGAACTTATGCAACAAGAGGTATTCAACTCTCTGAGCCCTAGCACCCTGAAAATTAAAGTGTTTGATTTTGAACCATAACCACCTTTGTATTGGATCCTCAAATATGTTCAACAGAGAGAGAGAGAGAGAATGGTTACTGAAAATCCACCTGGAGAGTTTTGCCCCAAAGATTACCACTAATATTAGTCAGTTGACGTGTAAGGGGAAGAACACTCAAGTGAAACATCAGTTCCAAAGATAGCCAAGCATCAGTCTCGCAATATTCAACCTGATCCAGAGAAATACACAATTAAGAGCATGATATAGCAATATCTAAAACAGACTCTCCAGCCATATTGGTTTGTCCAAGCTATTAACTTACTAGTACTAAGCTAACATTTCCATTTTAAATACTAACCTACGAGTGCAAAAGAAACAAATCATAATAAACGACAAATGCTCAGTATAAGAACCTACAAGTTCCATGAGGGATTCTGATTTCTGAAACATAGCAGAAACATCATGTGGAGAAACCTCCTTCCTATCTTTATTCAGCTGGGTCTTTGCAAGCTGTGTCAAAGAATAGCTTACCTGGAAAAAATAGATTTAACAACATGTTGAGGCTAAAATTACCTTTCAAACCTTCAGCCTCATGACATAATTAACAAGCTAAGGTAGCATACCTCCTTTAATAGGTCACGGGAGCACAAATAGGTATCACATAAGAGCCGACCTGCAATACAAGACATAACCCCTGGACTTGCTCCAGACCCAAAAGTGGAACTTCCCTTCATAAGCTTAGGCATCACAGAACGCTTGAGGCGGCCAATTTTGGACCACATGCCACTTGCTACTTTGCAAGCCTACATCATTGAATTAAAAGAAGAAAAAAAACATAACAGAAAATTAGCCTCTGTATTTAAGAAGGCCAAGGCACCAGATAGAACAAGAATTTAGGGGCAAATTAGTTTATTCCAATCTGTAGCTTATATACCAGCAGAAGCTAGCAGCGAGGATGTCAATACAATCACGCTTCCTAACAACAAGTTATATCCTGGATATGAAGCTTCTTTATTGGACCACAAAGTGAAAATTTGACCATTTTTGAAATGTGGAAGCAACATCATGCTTCCATTGGATTTGAAATCATATCAAAGCAAGATTGGGCCTCACTTGATGACCACACACCAACAAAAAACAGAGTAACATCAAGCACCTAACAGTAGGGCCTGTCACTTTAGATGCAACTCTGGCAGCAATACATAATTGTTACAATCAAATTGTATGGTAAGAGAACATGCCTTAATTTAGGCATTAGGTTCCAGATACTGGGCCAGTCACATGGCCCACGGACTTAGGAATATATTGGGCAAGTTAGAATAGTTCCATAAAAATATGCTCCAGGACATGATGATGATAATTAGAATCCAAACCTGAGCTCTGTGAAGAAGAACATCAAGGTCAAACCCAGAGATATTATGTCCAACAAGTACATCACCATCCAAACTGTATATTTCAGTGATCAAACGATTTAACAAGGCTCTCTCACTGCAGTTGAAGTTGATGAAAAGAAAAAGTGAACCTAATTAGTAGAACTGAGAATATTGATAAAAATGAGTTGAACTGTGAATAAATATTTTTACCAGTTAGCTAACATGCCATTAGATGAAAAGGGGAATTAAAAAGTTAATGGTAGCATGAATTATCAGGAAAAAGTTAATGGTAGCATGCCTGCTTTCAACTGCCAGAACAGTTGAGCCAGCCTTTGAATTTCTATCAGTAACCTCTCTCATGAAACCCATAGGGAATATGCCACCCTCAAGTTTACGAACAACAGTAAAATGGCTGAGTACCCCAGGTCTTTTCCATTCTGCTGCCAACATTGGAGCATCAATCTGAAAAGGTACAAAATTTTAGTATTAGCATATTCCATACATCCAAAGCAACTTTGGTGCATTTCGTTAGCAAGAAACAGTAAGACCCAAGAAACCTTTTTCTGATAATAAAAGAAAAAAATATTAAAAGAAAAAAAATGAAGATGCAGCAAATTGACAACACGAATCATGTTTTGGCTAAGCACTCCTTAGAAGAGATCAAGATTCTGTTGTGTCCATACTATCTCAAAGCATATCATTTTCTCCTTCCTATATCCTTTAGAGCCTTCAACTTGCACCAGTGTGCAACAACAGTTGAAAAACAACCCACTTGATGTATGGAATTGTTTGAGATTAGATGCAAACCAGAAAATAAACAAACAAGAGAGGAAGAGAAGAGAGAGCTGGCGACAATGAGTGTTAGAGAGTAAGAGGTTCAAACTTAACCTCTCTAACACTCTAAACATCTTATTAATAAGTTAATCTTTGACAAATTACAGAGAGGCCCTTGAGTGGGTAGGAAAATACAAAAACAGAGCATTACAGAGTATGGACCCAGAATAAGGCCCACAACAGAGAGAAACATAACATAGCATGAAATGACAGTCTATGGGCCATTCGGTCCATCTTCTCTACACTCCCCCTCAAGCTAAGCATAGATGTTAATCATGCCCAGCTTGCCAGTGTCAYGTTGAAGCCTTGCCTTGGAAATGCCCTTGGTGAGGAAATCTGCCAATTGTCCTTCAGAAGTAATGAATGGAAGACACACTTCACCGGAGGAGACTCTTTCTCGAATAAAGTGTCTATCAACCTCAATATGTTTGGTTCTATCATGTTGTACCGGGTTGTG